CCTGGCTGAAGTCGGACGCTTAACCGACTGCGCCACCCAGGCGCCCCTCCAATGTTTTTTTTTTAAACACAAACTTTTACCAGCCAAAGGCCACAGTTTCCTTAGAGAGCTATAAGAATAAATTCTCTATAACCAAATGGCGTCTTACTAGGTATCTGCATATTTACTTACCTTTCTCCGCAGAGTTATTCGCTAATTTCCTAAGGATGGATTCCAAACTGGGTGCCCAGAATGTTTACCTTGTGTGCCCAAAACAGGATAGTTTTAAGGATAACGTTTTCTGGCCACTCAGAAACTGTCAGTATTGTCAGAGGCCTTGACCTGCAGACACATATAAACATGATCAGCAAACTGGTCAACTCTTAGCACCACATTTTAAGGCAATTTTTTCATACATTAAATTGGTTTTCTTCGCTTTCAGCTTTAGGTTTATTGGCTGGGGTATTTGTGTAAGATGCACGAGTGTGGATTGAAGCGATGTCCTTCTTTCCACTTTGTGCATCTCCACTTGGGTTTAAGACCCCACCTGTCCCCCAAAAGAAGAAAAGTGAAATCCTAGAACACTAGTGTTCTAGATGTTAATACTTCTTTGTAAGAATTTATGATTAATAACGTAGAGAAGTCCTTGATATCCTATCTCCCTCTTGGAGATACGCGATGCTCATCAGGCTTGAGAAACATTGGAATTTACTTAGCTAATTAAAAAATTTTAATCCAAAACTGATCACAGAACTTCTTTTTTTGGGGAACACTGATTAATACCACGAGAGAACCTAGGATTTGGTGGTGTGTGACCCAGAAAGCTCTAGTTTAGAACAAATAGTGGAAGGACTTTACGAGGCGTTTGTAAGCGGTACAAGTTCTTAAAACATGGAAAAACTAGCCCTTCTTAATATTAGCCTTTGTCTCACCTTTGAAAGGTTACTTCTAGATTTTATTTTCCTATGAAATCTTTTTCTTCACCCTCATGGCAGCTCTAGCTACAGGCATTTCTCTGACCAGCTCCTGGATAGTCTCACTGCCCTTTTAAAGCTATCTTGTTGACATAGGACAAAGAATTATAGGTGCCAGAAGGTATATACATAAGTAGACGTAAAAAGACAACTTATGTGGCCTTACTCGGGGGAAACAGATATGTGGTTGTGCACCGTAATTGAAAGGTTTCCTGGAACGTCTAACAAAATCCGTTTGCCCACCTGCCAGCCACGCGCCTGACATGGACCTCATTTGTATCTCGAAAATTCTGTTTGGGGGCCATTAAAATTTAAAAAGTACTAAGTGTTAGAAAGGGGCGGAGGTTTATAATGTGTCCTCCAAACCAGGAAGGTACATTAATACCGAAACATGAAGCAAAGCTGTTCTATACCGTTCGCTGTGTTTTCTTCAGGGTAACTTACCGACAGGCAGTCGGGTGGGCCAACGGACAGAAGATCCAGGCGGTAATATGCTCCTAATCTCTGCCCCTATTCCCAGCCTTTATCTGGACCTTCCCCCAGCTTTTATGGAGTGAGGGGCGTGGTGGGGAGGTCATGGGTAGTTATCTTAAGTGGCACCATCTGTGCACCTGATAGCCGCCAGTTATCCAAAGTGGTGCCACCTGTGCAAGATGGCGTCCCACAGATGGAGTCAATGTTGTTAGCACTCCCACATTCCACCTCTGGCATCTTTTTAGCCCGTGCCATCTTTGCCCGCCATTCTTTCACAATGGCCTTAGAGCCAGATGTCAGGAAGGGACTTGTACCCCCCTGCCACAGCAGCAGTATAAATAGCAACGTGAGTTGAACCAGTACCACCCCTGGTTTTTCACCATTCCTCATTCTTTGTTTTAATGTGTATTTAAGAGAGAGAGAGTGCACATGCAAGGGGGGGGGGAGGGGGCAGAGAGAGATAGACTCCTAAGCAGGCTTTATGCTGTCAGCGCAGAGCCTGACTCAGGGCTCCATCCCGTGAACCGTGAGATCATGGCCTGAGCCAGTCAAGAGTCAGATGCTTAACCCACGGGGCCACCCAGGCGCCCTGAACCATTCCTCATTCTTGAGGGGTAGGGGTAACGACCCCTCTAGCTGCTTCCTGCTGGAAAAGGGTGTAGAGCAGGATTTCACGAATTAAGTTGCCATTGCATCCCACTGCAGATATTCCCTACAGCTCAGCTGAGCTCCCATCCTTTGTAACCACTGTTTTGGAAGTCTTGTATATAGTCTTAGCATCTCATTCTCCATTTTATAACAAGGTCAGTTAGGTCCATTCAGTTAAACAGTGGTCTCTTTTCAGGAGGTGGTCCTGCCAATGTGATTTCAAAGTCAGGTTTGTAGAGTGCAAGCAGTCAGGTAGTAAGTGAGCCATAAATGCACGGAAGCCAGAAGTATTCGGGATCTAGCCCCTGGTTTATAGGTAAATAAACATTCAACCAGAAATAGAATCTAACGCCCATAAAAGTGTGTTACTGAAATATTTTTTTCTAAAATCACCCTCATTTCTATCAAAGGTAGTCAAATTAAGACTAAGTTGTTTGTAAAACAAGTCCACTTTTAACAAACTTGGCCTAAATGTTTACATGCGTGCAACAAGAATGGTGATGGGCCATTTGGGTTCTTTTAAGTCTGCTTTTCTGGAACTTCTCATAGGGAATTTCAGTTTGAGCCTTTTACAGCCTTTGGAGGCCAGAAGCCAAGTCAAATACTTGCCATCAGACCCACCTGCAATACCTTTAATTTGAATTAAGTCCTCTCTTCTTGAGGTCCCCAAGTGACCTTCCTGACTTGCACGGTAGGGCTCTCAGGAACCTGTAAGCAAGGTAGCAGGCCATTTTTTTCCAAGGAATTTCCTTGGCTCTATAAAGTCAACCTTAGTTCCTTAGGGCTGTTTGGCCATATTTGAGTCTATACGTGTCTCTTTCCAATGTGACATTCCAAAGCCTTGGTAATCAAGGTTTCCAATGGTGTCCTGTTATAAGAACATATTGTTATTGAACTTATGCAAATAACTGTAATTGATTTCCCATTTTATTGTTACCACGAGCCCCAGCCAAGCCCTTCTGGATGTGAAGTTACATCCAATTCACCACTAACACCCGGCATTAATACCCCCGATGCCTAGTTATTTTACTACCATTTTTGCCTTTATTTCTCCCCCCCCCCCCAAATTTTGAGGCATTTCCATAGATAAATGTGCATTTAGCCAGTGAATATTAGAGCTAGCACAGTCTGATGGTTAGTGAAAGACAAATAGTTAATAATGGGGCCCCCAGTTGTCCACTGTTGCATGCACTAGAGGGAAACGCTGGCCTAACCCTTAGTTTCCAGGAATAGTCTGTGTCCACCCCGAAATTTTTCCATTAGCAGAGGGGCACTGGGCAACACACCCAGCTTTTTTAGCCTGCCTTCAAGGAAGTAAACTGCTCTCCATCAGGCGATGCCTTCTGGAGGCTCAGCAAGACCAACTTGGGTTGTTTGTCTATATTTTCTCTCGGGGTCCCAGATAATATTCGGTATTGCTACCATTGTTTACAAATCTTGATAGGCCCCCTTTCTGCCATTTTCTCATCAGTGGGATCGTTTTTCCCTCTTTTTTAATCTATTTCCCTCATAAGGGAGTCTCTGAATCTCACTTAAGTCTGCAGCCATAGTAGCTACCGTAGCAATGGGCCATTTAGCCACAGGGGCAAGAACAACCTCTAAAGTCCCATACCACGCTCCTGGGGCTGAGATACGGTCATTCATACAAGAGGAAAGTCATGCTTCATTTGGGCCACCGAAATGCTGCGTGTAAATGGCACACTTCATCCCTAGTTCTTCCACAGAGGTCTGCTGCAACAGAAGGGAGGGCACAGCCTCCTTGTTAGGCCAGGGTTTCTTAATGCTAGCATTTATCCAATCAGATTAGCCAACTGCCTGCAGTTCTTGACCACGCCTGCCGTATATAATCTTTCATCACCAGGCAGGTTCAGCCGTGGCTGAGGCCACGTTTTCATCTCGAATCCATTCAGCATAATACCATCTCCTCCATAGTCCTAAGACCCAAGCTACCACCCCTTCTTGGCCCTTTTGCTTCACCACCATCTCAGACCCGTGTTGGTTAGGGCGTTTCTGTACTCACACGCTGGTCTGAAACGCTCACAAGACCTGGCCGAATCGCCTGGCTAGCAAGCTTGGGATTTCCCCCAAGGGACCACAGGCTTTCCCCGCGTGGACTGTGGGCTTCTCCTGGCTTCGCCTCCTTTACCCCTCCCTGGCTTGTTTCATTTTCAGTCTCCTGTCCGCTACGCCAAGTGTTAGAAGCTGGAGGAGGGTCAGTAATGTATCCTCCAGACTGAGAAGGCACTTTAATGCTGAAAAAGGAAGCAAGCCACTCCAAGCTGTTTACGGTTTTATTCAGGGAAACTTACGGATGGTCAGCCTATCAGCCAGGACAGTAATATGCAGCTATTCTCTGCCACTCTCCAGGTTTTATGGAGCTAGGGGCCTGGGGGTGCCCTCACAGGGTAGCTATCTAAAGTGGCACCACCTGGGCAGAGGCTCTCTGCTATTATCTAAAGTGGCGCATTCAGTGCGCCAGAGGCGAGGACAAGATGGAGGGCCAAGATGGAGTCAGTGTTGTCAGTGCTCCTACGCCAAGCACATCTGAAGAGATGTGACGGTTCACGCTCACTGGGAAACAGGACTGGTAGACGTGAGCTAAACAGTACACTGGCCACCTCAACTTCTTTAACCTGCCACCCTACCCACCCCATGGAGGCAGCCATGTTCTTGCAGGGGCTTATTAAAACCGGGGAGTAAGCCCCTTGTTTTTTAGTTTCTCTTCTGTTTCCAGGGATCTACAGTGTCCATTTTTTTCTTCTTTTTAAGTGAATTTCTTCCGTAAATCACTTGAATTTCATCTCTAAGCGATTTCCGTACAGTAGTATATAACGTGACCGGTGGGATGTGAGAATCGTCAACTTTTTAGCGTGGAAACCCATTTGAGTTAAGTAATTATTGCTTATGTTCTCTTTGGAATCTTAGCATCTCCAGGCTCCAGCACTTGCTTAGCTGTTACGACTCCAGCGAACCGCTGTTTCTCGGAGAGCGTTACGGCTACGGCCTGGGCACTGGAGGCTACAGCTACGTCACGGGAGGAGGAGGGTAACTATGAACAGAGCTTTCTGCAGATGCTCTCAGCACTCACTTCTGCTTCTGTGATCCAGGGCTGGGCGTGTGGCAGCGGGACCAATCCTGATACATAAGTGCTCTGTAAATGGTAGCTGTGACTGTAATAGGAAAGTAAACATGAAATTTCCTAAATATGAGAACGGTTCACCACAAAGAATGTTTTACCCCTTGGAGAAATATAAATGGATGTCGAGGGACTTGGTAGAAATTTCCCTAGAGGAATGATTGCCTCTAGGTAGACAATTAGCTTTGCTTGTTTTAATGAGAAAGAAATTTGGATATAGATTTTATTCCAGAAAACAAGTCACTAGACTTTTAAATGATCTATTGCTAATAAATCACATTTAGGAAAAGAGTAGTATAGAATATCACTTAAGCAGTTAAGTGATATTTGTGTCAGATTTATAGATTTTAAATGACAGTGAAAAATTAACATTTTTCATGTTTATTTATTTTTTGAGAGAGAGAATGAGAGAGAGCAAGCCGGGGAGGGACAGGGACAGGGAGAGAGAAATCCCAAGGCACTGACGTGGGGCTCGAATTCACAAACTGTGACATCATGACCTGAGCCGAAACCAAGAGTCGGATGCTCAACTGACTGAGCCACCCAGGTGCCCCCAAAGTCAGTGTTTTTATTTTTTTTATTTTTTTTTTAATTTTTTTTTTTTAACGTTTATTTATTTTTGAGACAGAGAGAGACAGAGCATGAATGGGGGAGGGGCAGAGAGAGAGGGAGACACAGAATCGGAAACAGGCTCCAGGCTCTGAGCCATCAGCCCAGAGCCCGACGCGGGGCTCGAACTCACGGACTGCGAGATTGTGACCCGGGCTGAAGTCGGACGCTTAACCGACTGAGCCACCCAGGTGCCCCCAAAGTCAGTGTTTTTAAATGAAGCATCTGCCTATGCCGGATCTCTTATAGGGGACGATTCTGATTTGATTTATATGGCTACGTCACTTGAGCAGTTAGTCTATTATTTCCACAGTTTTTGCTATTGATTGATTTCGGGAGGATCTGAACTCGTTATGAAATACAGTGATTTAAATTCATTCGACAGGTATTTGTTGAATGTCCACTATGTGCTTGGCAACATTCTTGGCATTGGTTTATAAAGCTCTGAGAGTCACGAGCATAAGGGGCGGCAGCTTGGGTATTAGGACTGTGCAATACTGGAGGAGATGGTATTATGTTGAATGGATTCAAGATGGAAAAAATGGCCCCAGCCACTGCTCAACCTGCCTTGTGATAAAGACTATCTACTGGGCCTGGGCAGGAGTACTGATCTTTGTTGGGCAGTGGCATGCTTCCACCTGAGGTCATTAGCAACAGGAGATGGGGGTCCAGGTAGGCCTTGGAAAAGACGCCAAAGGGTAAAGGCCAACGACTATTGACTTCTTAATTAAAAAAGAAAAAAAGGCTCAAGCTATTTGCAGCTTTAGAGTAATGCATTTAGTTTTCTGGGTGAGGTGGTGAAGCCAATGAAGAATCAGGGTATGGTATCCCTTGAGTCGGAACTTTCTGCCTTTGAACGGGGTCTTATTATTTGCATATGGGTTTCTATATTTTGTGGCACATATGGGCTAACATACTTTTAACACAGAAGTGATGGCCAAGAACACTATTTGGTTTCCTTCTTTGCCTGTTGGATTTCACTGTTATCTCTGAGACTGGCCCTTGAAGCCTGAAATGGCACTTGACCTCACCTAGCCAGTGTGGCCTTTCGTTGCTCCAGCTGGTTGCTCATTCACTCCACAAGCCTGGTGGGCATAGGCACTGGGGATGCAAACGGAAGCCACAGTTCCTTCCCTACAGGAGCTCACAGGGCAGTGCCAGACTGGCATCTACACCGCATGGGTGTCACCGCTCCCCTTCCCAGGCCCATGGCGGGCACTGTCACCACCAAGACGGCACTGTTAACTCTTACGTGTTCAGCTTCTACCTTCTTACTGTGGACTTCCCACCACCTCCAGTTTTGCTATCTTAAAACTCCTTCCTGCCACCGCACCCTCCCTCTTCTCCCCTTCAAGTCATCGTAAGAACCCGGGACTCACGATCTCTGTTCTCCAGCTCCCACTTCCATGTGACCGCCACGCTTGGCTTCCCACCTCAACTGTCTTGCCGAGGTTTCCGGCAGCATCCACGTAGCCAGATCCAGGGGCGGACTCCCGATCTTCCTCTTGTTTGACCTCTTAGCCGACTTTGACAAAGGTGACTGCTTACTCCTTGAAATGCTCCTTTCTCCTGCTTTCCAGAACAGTGTCCTGTCGTTGTGTATTCCTGCCTTTCTGATCATTCCTTCTCAGTTCCTTCTTCCTGTTCCTGTGTTCTCCAGGCCTCTTTTCTGGTGTCCTCTTCTCACTCTGTATTCTCCTTGGCGATCTTATCCACCCCCGTGGCTGTGCTGAAAACACCCGAAGCTCTATCCCCAGCCTGCAACTCTCCCCAGACCTCCCGATTCCTACATCCACCCACTGGAGGCCCTGTCCACTGGCGTGATTCCCAGGACATGAGACCCAGCGCTGCCATCCTGACCTTGCCTCTGACCCTGGCCCCTGCTTTAGTGTCTTCCCAGTGGTGTTCCCTCAGGGAAGACGTGGCATGCGTGAGTTCCTGCCCCAGAGACCTCTGAGTCTGCTTTGTCCTTTCTCTTCCTCGTTCCCCAGGACTTTGCAGCCGACCCGGTCACCAAGTCGTGTCAGTTCTGTCTCCTAAATATCCCTTCTGTCTCCACCTCCCCAGTTCTGATCTAGGTCACACCATCTCTCACGTGCGTGCTCCTGCCATGGCTGCCCATCTCCTCCACTCCTTGCTGTCGACCACCCTGGAGCCACAGAGACCTTTCTACAACCACACCTGCTCCTGGTGCCCTCCTGCTCAGAGGCCTTCACGCGCTTCTCTGGCTTTTATTCTTCCCCAAGAGCGCGAGCCCTTCCCTACCTTTGGCATCTAAGACTAGGAGACGGTCGTTCGGATTCCGACAGGAGTCAGGCTGGTCTGGGATTAGGCCTCGTTTTAATCACCTTCAGTCTTCCGGGCCCACAGCCTCCGTGGGTGCTACTGAGGCCACTGACTTGGGGCTAATGTCTCTAGCTGGTCTTTTCTCCCCGCCTCCTGCCCCCCAGCTTGCCACCTGTCTGGGAAGGATTCCTCTCTCTAGAAATGAGTTCATCTGCACTTCATACCCCCCATCTCTGCAACAATGCCATAGGTTATTGTGATTTTAATTTTATTTGGATTTTTTTTTTCATTACGATGAGAATGAAAGTCTTTGCGCTCCTTTATAACCTCCTGTGACCTTTAGGATAAAGTCGGAATTCCTGGTCAAGACTTACCTGGCCTCTCATGATCTTGGCAGATGCTGTTTTACTGTTCTAGGCTTCTTCACCTGCACTGTCATCTTAAAGAATTCCTGGACTTATTTCAAGTCCTCAGAGGCCTTTTTTCTTTCCTCTTCCCCCAGACTGGCGTCTGCTGGTCTCCACACAGCGCTGTTTCCCCTCCCCAGCTTTCTGTCTTTGTCACCCGGCTCATCCTTCTCATTTCTTTGGACATGATATAGCTATAATTTATTCCTGGAAGCCTTTGGCCTAGTCTGGCCTCTCAAATCTGGGTTTGATGCCTTTCAAATGTACTTTCATAGCATATTATGCAACCCATTATCATTTAATTGCCTATTTACCTTTCTGTTTTCCACCTAAATGATGAATTATTTGAAGGCAGCACCTGTGTCTCATTTCTCATTATATCTTTACTTCCTAGCAGAGGGACTCATTTTTTACAAGGTACAGTGAATAAATGAGTAAACAAATGCATGAACACTGAGCCTTGATCTTTATATAACTAACGACTGGTATAATACTCTGTTTCTAATGGTACTTTTACAAAGATACAGAAGCATTCATCACAAGACTGTCTCGTATCAACCTGTGAAAAAAGCTGCAGACAGAATGTTAAATGATTTCTCAGTAGACTTTCTGATGATCGAGCTTAAGAACCAACATGAGTTTTCTTTTTTTTT